GACTCTGAAGGTCTATCACACACAGAAATATGGTTTCTCTTTGTTGCTGTTTCCGTAACATATGCTTTTTACCAGTCTGGGTTGTTAGCCCTGAGCTGAACCTCCGAAACCTGGAGGGCCGGTGGATCACGCTTCGTCTGACCTCTACCCGTCGACCTGTCTGGCATGGGTGGCCCTACCAGGAGCATTTGCTCCAGCCAGCTTAGCTCTTTGGGTCACTGAGGCACATAAGCTCTCTAACCACAACAAGGTAGTGATCCACTAGAGAGAGTCTTGAATACTACCCCCCAAAAAAAACTTTTGTTAAAAATATCTTTATTTGTTTAAGAAAAATTCATCAGACAATTTTGTCGAACTATTGTTTCTTATTCTTGACATGTTTGCAAAATGATTACCTGTTTCCATAAAAAATGAGTGAGATATTGATCATATAAGACACATTTTTTATTCAAAACTTTGTTTAGTTACTTTACTTCATTTCCTTTCTACTCTGTCATAGGTATACAGCCACCTGTTCAAAATTACTTGTGCAGTACAAAGCAGCTTTCAAGCAAGTACAGAGTGATTTCCCTACGGTTGAGGATTTCATGAAAAAGTACAGAGTAAGTGAACTCTCCCAGTGCACTATGAATGTCTATGTTCTGTTCTTATTGTTGACCTTTTCTCAGTTTGGAATCAACCTCTGACATCCAGACTCTTAAGCAGTAGGTACCAGGAAAGAGGAAAGTTCATCATTCTTTCTGCAAGCTATCCAATCCAAGTAGAGAAAGACGTGAAGTAGTAGCTTTATTCAGGTTGTTCCCTTTTTTATCAGTCATGAAATCTGGATGATTTTCCAAACCTTTGATATTTGGCTAGAAGTCCATGTGATGCTTGTAAGTTGTGTAGGTTAAAGTTTTGCTTGTGGGAAATATTTCACATAAAATGTAAAAAGATAACTAATCAGAAACTTGCAGCAAGAGGGAATTTAGATTGTGGCAGATTTTTAAAGATGAATGCACACTTAGATACTTTGGTTACTAAAGTTGCTGTGGAACCCTTTCCCAACCTATGCCAACTGACAGCAACTGTCACCAGGAAATGACCACAATGAATTAACATCTCATGAGGTTGGGACTACAAATTCAGTTCTGTACATTATCTTGACTGGGAAACGGCGGGGTGGGATACTTGTTGAACATTTGACTGTCTGAATAAAATCCAGTCTAAACCGCAGTGACGCCATAGATGTTAAATAATTGTAATTGCTGATCTAGGCTGAGATACAAGTACAGTGGAACTCAGATTCAACGAGCTTGGATTCAAATAGAACTCGGATTCAACGAGATGAGATAGATTCCCCGTTTTTTTTCTTCTTTAAAATCAATAAAAATAACCCGGATTCAACGAGCACTTAAATCAGCGAGCTCGGATTCAATGAGGTCGCTTCCAGGGGGAACAGCCCCTGCAGACGTGGCTTCGCTCATTTTTCTCCCAGAACGAACTTTATCTATTCCCTGAAACCATCCATTGCACCTGCATCGTGAGCCATTATTCACTTAGCCAATTGCATGCGACCAATCCGCTGCCTTTTTCATTCCAACACATGCGTTGTTGGCACGCGCACGTGTCTACTCTGGCGTGTGTCGGGGTCGAATGGGTGGCCTGCACACGTGTGACTGTGTGTGCATGTCGGGGAGGCAATAGCAGTTCGGGCGTTTAATGTCGCAGACACTAACGCGTTAGCCTTTTTTTCCCCCCTTGGCAACCGATCATTTTTGCAATGATTTAGCTAGTTTTGACATAATCTACTTTATGAATTGTGCGCTGGTCTATGGAATTCTAAAGTTGCCGTATGCTAGGCTCTACACAGCAACACAACTGTTTGGTAAACAATCGAGATGACACAGGTGTGTGCATTTGAACGAATCGGTCTCTTTTTTTTTACACGGCTCATAATATGCAGGCATTTCAGGCACTACTTGTGACTTCTCTTTATACATTACTTGCTCAGTGCCTGAAATTATCTACACAAAACCTCGTGTTTGCTATAACGAACACTCGGATTCAACGAGATTTTAGGTCAGGCCCGGCGACCTCGTTGAATCCGAGTTCCACTGTAAATCTAAAGACTTGCCACAGTGAATGAGATGCTAAGTGTATTGGATGCAACTGCTGCTATTTTCAACTTGTGTATGGTAGATGTTCAGATTTGTAAGTGATTGTAAATCAGCTTGAATCTTTCATTGACTTTTAAGAGAAAGCAGGTCCAATTTCAACCTTATATTCCTCTCTTTGAACCATGGGCTCCTGATGACTTCTCTTTATAAACTAGTCAACAAAAATTAAGGAACATTTGAGAAAAAGTGTATAACTTCGAAAGAAAACTTCAACACGCAATGGGATTTGGTACACTTTTTAATCAACATGTGTATAGCAAGTACCAAAAAAGAAAATTAAGTTATTCCATTTTAACTTGCTTGAAAAGTTAATCGAGTTTGGTAGGGGTTGAAATCCCAAATCCCAAAAATTGTCAAGCGGTTTCGAAGTTATTTTAACTTCTGACTGCAACAAAAACAAAACAATTCAGATGATTTCAATAATGAGTATGCCCACCACATTTGTCCTGGCACTTAGTACACCGGCTCCTCATCGAGTTCATGAGGTTGGTGAATACTCTCTGAGGCGTCCCCTGTCACTCTGCCTACAGCATCTGAAACAGTTGCTGCGCGTCTCCTGGAGGGGTGTGGTTGTCTCTGACTCGACGTTGCAGCTCATCCCAGAGGTTTTCTATGGGATTCAAGTCCGGACTGCAGGCCGGCCAGTCCATTCGGTTGATGCCAGCCTGCTGCATGAAGTTTTGGACAAGCAACGCTCTATGAGGTCGGGCGTTGTCATCCTGGTACACTGCATGTGGCCCCATCTGCTGCAGAGTGGGTAGTGCTAATGGACGGAGTATCTCATTTCGGTAACGTATTGCAGTGAGATTCCCTTGCACTTGGTACAGAGGTGTTCTGTAGTTCAGACTGAAAGCACCCCATACCATCACGGAACCACCTCCAAAAGGCATCACTTCTCTGACGGCTTCATAGAGGAGCCGCTCTCCGGGTCGCCTCCAAACCCTGATACGGCCGTCATTGTGATGCATAGAGAACCGGGACTCGTCGCTGAAGAGAACATTTGCCCACTGTTGACGTGTCCATCTTACTTGGCGTCGCCAAAAGGCAAGACGAGCAGCCCTGTGTGCTGGGGTGAGACGCTGGCGGACTGCTGGTCGACGTGCATTAAGTCCAAACTCATGAAGACGTCTTCGTATTGTCTGACAACTAATGTTAACACGAGTTGCCGCTCTCAGCCGTGTCCGGATGTGATTTTCTGGAGCGGATCTCGACTGCGGAGCCTGTTTATGAATGAATCGGTCTTCCCTTGTATTAGTGGCTCTTGGTCGACCTGATCTGGGTCGCTCTTGGGCACTACCAGTGGCGTTGGCACGCTGAATCAGCCGTGAAATGACAGAAACGGACACTCGAAGACGTGTAGCAACTTGTCGGAGTGAAACACCGTCTTGTACCTAAGCAATGGCTCGTCCTCTGTTTACATCAGACACTTTCTGTCGAGGAGGCATGTTTATGCTTAGCCCTACAGAAGCAGAATGGTGTATCCAAAGTGCAAATGAGCGCGTGCAAGTCACTCACGAGACATGAATCTTGCAATTGGAAACTGATTTTTGAACGTTCATAATTTTTTCTGACTGTAAGAGCTAGAGAATAAAAATCGATAATTGGAAAATATTGGACCTTTTTGCCCCCTCCCCAGCTCATCGCACAGGAGTCACGTGCACTTCAAACCCTGGTGTGTGCAATCCCATTAGTCATAGAGTAACATTTCACCAATATCTAGTTTTACTAGTAAAAGTAAAACCTCGAAAGAATGCATACACATATATCACTCTTTTTACAGTACGTTCCTTAACTTTTGTTGACTAGTTTACATTACTTGCTCAGTGCCTGAAATTATCTACACAAAACCTCGTGTTTGCTATAACGAACACTCGGATTCAACGAGATTTTAGGTCAGGCCCGGCGACCTCGTTGAATCCGAGTTCCACTGTAAATCTAAAGACTTGCCACAGTGAATGAGATGCTAAGTGTATTGGATGCAACTGCTGCTATTTTCAACTTGTGTATGGTAGATGTTCAGATTTGTAAGTAATTGTAAATCAGCTTGAATCTTTCATTGACTTTTAAGAGAAAGCAGGTCCAATTTCAACCTTATATTCCTCTCTTTGAACCATGGGCTCCTGATCCTTAAATAGGATATACCCCAGGCTCCTGAGTAATTTCATTATTTTTTTGGTATGCTTTTCTGCAGCTAATTTTAATGATGATCTTATTTATTTGGTTGAATTATCACTCTGCTGGTGTTTATTGATGCTGTTGTTTCGTATTTCTATTCTATTTCTGTAGAGACATGTCACCTTTAGGTGGGTTTGTCTTACCAATATTTCAGCACCCTAGGGTATTTGCCACGTTGCATTTGTACAGATATTCTGGTACAGAGGGTTTAAAGGGTTCATTAGTGTGTGAGTTGTGATCGCGCCAACAGGCAGCCTTCTTGTGCTCATACTATTTTGTGGTGTTTCTGACTGTTTTAATTTCTGGACATTTAAAAAAATTATACCACCATGTGTGTTAAGATATTGTGAATTTTTTGATATAAAATTTTCTTGAAAGGATGAAAATTACCGGAGATATTTCAACTTTTCTGTGTTTGTGGACAAGTGGAGTCAGTGTTGGTCTACTTGTTTTACTCAGTTTTTTTAGTTCAGGTCTCTTTGTTAAAATGTCGAAAGAATTTGTTTTGACAAGTGAACATTTTATTTCGAATGGACTCCCAGCCTGTGGTGGGGGTGGCTCTAACACAGACAGTGTATTCACTGAAGAGGACAAAAGGATAACTTACTCTTTAGACCTCAGGACCATGTTTACATACTTCTAAGTGTTATGAGGAGACTTAGAAAAAACAACTTAAATCGTATACAGTAGAACATGACTATAGCAGCACCCGCTACAGCGGGACCTTACCGGAATGCCCCTTTTTTTTTCTCTATGACTCTATGTAAACTCAATTACCTGTGCTCGGGTTTAGCGGGGCAAGGAAAGGTCCGAACTTGGATACAGCAGGAGAGATCGAGCAAGCTCTAGCTAGGGGGGAAGGGGGTTGGGGAGCTGTAGGTGGGCTCCAAACAGGCAGTCAGCGGTGCAGCGTTGTGAATGGCCAGTCCAGTGATGAGTGAGGTGGGGCAGACGGCAGAGAGACACATTACATGAGCCACTCCAAAAGTGATGTACGTAGCTTAGTTAGAGGCTCGGTATGAGAGGGTATAGGCCATAGCCGTAGGCCTAGGCTAGGCCAAAAAGTAAAAGAAGAGGAGAACATGTAGTGTATGATTCCTGATTCATTGAATTGCGATTGTTGACGCTTTTAGGCATACGCACACATTCACTTCACCAGTTTGTTGCTCTTCCGGAACGATAGACAGCACGGGAAACGAAACCGAATAAATGATGGCTTCCAACCCTGACAATAGGGAATGATTCTCACTTGAATTAAAAGCCGAAAT